TAAAGACTGACAACAACAACCTCATTTGCATTTATAAAACAACTTAGATACTATACTCGCGTCTAATTGTCTAAGTACTGTGTTTTCTATTGCTGTATGAAACACTGTTTGACGTCACTATTTTTAAAAGTGCGAATTTCAAAACTAGTACTAGAATAGGAAAAAAAAAAGCCAAAATCTATCCGAAAACCTAGAAAAAAAACTGGTTAAGTAATACTCTGCATATATTTCTTGTTTCTTGAAGGTTTTGAAGAAATTGACAAACTTAATAAGTATTTTGCATCTGATTAATATTACTTTAATGTAAGAGAAATTGTCTCGTACTTCTGATCTGCTCTCGAATTCTCCCATCCAAACAAACGTCTTGGTTTTCATAGCGTTATGAAGGCACGGAAAAATGTTATATCTTTTATTTGCAAAAATAAGAGAATTTTGCAAAATGCTTAAAAAATTATTTACAATGTCAATCATGAAACATTTTTCCGCTTTATAAGTACTCTGCGAACAGAGCTACTTTTCTCATCCGCCGAGAAAAAAGTAGCTCTGTTCGCAGAGTACTTTATAAGTCTTAATGCTTGAATTTGGATTTCAAGTTCTAGAAATTAATTCAGTTCCATATGGATTATTGTAATTCTTAGTTCATTGCCAAGAATATTTTTTCCGCTTTTTAGGTTACTTTAGCACTCAATGGTTGCATAGCTTGCGGTGAATGAAAGCCATGTTCATACATTCAAAGCGTGTATACATTTTTGGAGGGATGAGAAACAGATCAGTGTACACTGCGGGCTAGCCATTAAAAGCCCATAACTATTTTCGCAAATCATGAATCGGAAATAATTATAAAAAAAGAAATACAAGTTAAACCCTATATTCCTTGTTTTAATTTGTCATGTTTAGTTTGCCATGGTAATTCCGAGGCCCTTGGGATGAATGATTTCCGCATCAATAACTCTCAAATCACAGCCTCAACGTATTATGGCCCTTCAACTGCGCCATGGAACGGAAGGCTGAACACAGAAATAGGTAGTAAAGGCTGGGCACCCCAAACACAAGCTGTAGGAGAATATTTGCAGATCGACTTCGGCAAGGATAAAATGGTTAGCAAAGTAGCTACACAAGGAAGAGGCCATCCAGGAGCAAGACCTGGCACTAATCAGTATGTCACCAAATATTCATTGCAAATTAGTGCAAGTATTCTCAACTGGGTGTCTTACAATACAAGTGGAGCAAAAATGGTATGGCCATTATTTCGTTTGTGTTGAAACATTCTTCTTCAATGATAATTTAATTTGATTCTTAGTGTTGGGTTGAAATATTTTATAGAATAGAAGATATTACATGCGGAGATTTTATTTTATTTCGAGTGTTAAAAGATCTCAGCATGAGAAGATAGAATTTCTTTCCCAGCGACCATGTATTATTCTGTTTATAATATAATATATTAAATCAAGTTATGTTGTAAAATAACATTTTTTTCCTCCAATGTATAGAGGAACCTCAAATCAGTGAAAATAAGATMTTTTCGAATGATAAATTATAGGTATTTCATCGATAATTATATGRTAATATGGTTTCTTTRATATTTGGTGTCACTTTAGATTTTCCCCGGAAATACCGACATGAATACGGTGGTTTCTCATACGCTTTCTGCGCCATTTGTCTCAAGATACGTTCGCTTCGTTGTGGAAGAATTTAATTATTGGCCAGCAATGAGGGTTGAGCTTTACGGCTGCGGCTAAGCAAGCAAGAACAAGGAACAAGGTCCACAAGGACATCGACTTTATATCTCAGAGTCAAACATGCAGCAAAGTTATGTTAATTAAGTCAACAAAGTCTAGGTTTATGTAACTGCACATTGATCTAAAATGTTAGGTCCCGAAGATTAAAAGCATCACAAGTGAGAATGGCTTCCGAAAAACTAAGTCACATAATATAAAGAAAACGTACATATTAGTAGACGAAACTAGCAAAAAAGGAAGAGCAACATGGAATGGTTGAAT